TACAAAAATGCTCAGAATGAATAGAGAAGTCGATTAAGCCATGTCTGGCTGTCCGTCCGTCCGTGTACACGATAATTCGAGCAAAAATTGAGGTATCTCAACGAAATTTGGTAGGTTTCCATTAATCCATGGTAGGTTCGTATTGAAAATGGGCGAAATCGGACTGTAACCACGCCCACCTCCCATATAACGGTCATTTCCAAACATACGAAAACTGCGATATTTTAGTAACTACTGAAGATAATTCACTAAAAATTGATATTTACAATAATTTTTAGACGAAAAATAAGAATGTTATAAATTTTTGGAAAATGGGCGTTACCACGCTCACTTATGGTTACATGTGTATAGCTTGGTAACCGCTGCACCAATTTCTTCCAAACTTGGCACAGTTGTTGGCCTTCGTACAGCATACTAAATGGCCGAAAATTTAAAAAATCGAACAATAACCACGCCCACATTCCATATAACGGTAATTTAGAGAAATAAAAAATCTTCGATAAATCAGTAAATATTAAAGCTAATTTATTCAAAATTGATGCTTGCAACAAATATTTACCAAGAAATACATTTATGGTAAAATTTTGGAAAATGGGCATGGAATTTTGGAAATGGGTGGCACCGCCCACTTACGATCACATATACATATGTATATCTGTAACCGTTCTACCAATTTGTACCAAACTCGGTATTTTTGTTGTGCTTGCCACATAAAAGCAAAACGTTGAAAATTATTGAAATCAGACTAAAATTACGGCCACTTTTCATATAACGGTAAATTTCAGAAATGCTTGAAACTGCAATATTTCGAAATTTAAGGACGCTAATATACTCAAAATTGATACACACCGGCTTACCATCTAGCGGTAGGTTTCGGGTGAAAAAACATATTTAATACTTGCGCCGGGTATTTAATGTTCGACTCCGCCCGAACTTAGACTTTCTTACTTGTTTTTTTTTTTTTATATTCACAATGTCTTTGACGTAAAAATATTTTTTCTGTTTTCGTTTGTATATTTAAGAATTAAGAATATTGTTTGCGCTTTAACCAAACCCATAAAAATCAAGGACTCAAGCTATAGACAACATTTGCAAATCCAAAAATTGTTGTCTAAATTTCGAGCCTTTTACTCTGAATCCTTAGAACATTTTCGGGTATGCAGTTTTATAGCCCATGGAATGTTAGTATAACCAACAATGTGCAGCTGAAAATTCCCGTTTAATTTTGTCTTCAATCTGTTGTCCCCAGTCTTTTGTGTAAATTTTATATGCTGCTACGTACGTCAACCTACGTTTACGCTACGTCGTTGACTAACTGCGCTTTTGAACACTCCGTTTTAAGGTCCATAGGTAACTGCCCTTTTTTACTCTAATTGGTTCCAATAGGTCCCCTTTCAGACACGTCAAGTCTTGCTTTCAAGTCTGCTCGTTCGTTGGTGAAGGCGGTGGGAAGAGAGGGGAAGAGTACAGATACCACCGTACCGTCAATTCCTTTCAAGTTTTTTTGTTCCCTTTTGATCTTTTCGTAGCTTCCCGTTTAAAGAACCAAGTAGTTGAATTCAATAAAACTTGATGCGTGTAGAAGCAAAGAGAAAACAAAAAAGAGAATGCGATAAAAATTGCTTTCAAGACATGACGTGTCTGAAAGGGGACTACACCTTTTCCAATAGTACTTTGGAAAGTATCAGTTTGATTTTAGAAAGCGTCAATTCGGTTTTAGAAAGTATCATATGGATTTTAGAATAGTCAAATGTTGTTTGGAAGGCGTCATATGTACTGTAGATTTATTAAATGTACTTTAGAAAGCATCATTTCAATCTTAGAAAGCGTCAAATAAACTTTAGATTAGTCAAAAGTACTTTAGAAAACATCAAATGTACTTTTGAAGCAAGCAAATGTACATTATAAAGTATCAAATGTACTTTAGAAAGTGTCAAATGTACTTTCGAAAATATCAAAAATACTTTCGACAATATCAAATATACTTTCGACAACATCAAATATACTTTCGAAGATATCAAATGTACTTTAGAACATATCAAATGTACTTTAGAATCATATTCTAAGTCTCCCTTTAAATTGTTCATATTGCACCTAACATTTTTTTTTAAGATTAAGACATGTATATAGGTTGTAGTAATGTTTTTATTGAAGTTTTATATTACAATAAAGATCTAATGCAACGAACAGTTTTCACTGTCCAACTGGCATATTGTCAAGCGAAATTACAGCAGTGTGGAACGACGTACTGTGCTGCACCGATCTTGCGCAATCTCCACAATTAACAGCGGCGGCAGCGTCTTTTATTAGGCCCTCTAAATACTGCAACCTTTGCTCAATAACACCCGGTCCAATCACGTCTGGAGTCCGTATATTTGACTTTACATTCGCCTTAATTTTTCCCCATATTATCTCTATGGGGTTAAGCATAGGAGAATATGGTCCAAGCCGCAATAAAGTGGACTCTGCACATACCTCGTGTAGCTTTGAATGGCATGGCGCGTTGTCGCACACAATAATGGCATCGGCAAGCTGATTACCCATTTCGCACCACCTATCTAAAACGGAGCGGAGCCAAGCGTTTGCGTCCTCAGACTTGAAGGATCCTCTTCTGGTAGTCATTTTGACTACACCAGACGCATAAATGGCCCCAATAAGGTGCACGTTTGGCCCTTTAGCCACTGGTAAAACTTATACCGCACGTTTTCCAACCTTAGCACGACCTCGTGAACGCCGACAAAATAAATTAAAATTTGTCTCGTCGATGTATAAAATCTGCTTGCCTTCCTGAATATATTGATTCAACGTACATACGTATTCGCGGCGCTTTTCCTTATTTAGCTGCGAATTCATTGATTGAGGTTCCTTATGAATCCCCTTCATCGTAAAAAGTTGTCCTTGTAAATAGTTTCCCACGCTGGAAATGCACACATCTTTTCTAAACGTTTGTTTAATTTTTTCACGAATTTTTGTGAGTGTCATAGTGGCATCCTCCTCAATCCATTGGACCATCACTGCAACTTCATTGTCCGTCAGCGCTCTTTCTTTTGTACCACCTCGCCTTAGTGCTTGAGGAGTGCCAGATGATACCCATACGTAAGCCGTTTTATATTTTACATTTAAAGACTCCGCCAGCTGCACCCAATCAAGGCCTTTATTGGCTGCCTCCACAATTCGCTTCCTGTCTTCAGCAGAGTATTTTATGTTGGCACGTCGCTCAACTGATTCGGCAACTGAAAGAAATTGAATCATTTTCATTAATGCAATAGTTTTTTAAATAAAATAATTGCTTTGCATTACTTACCCGTTACATCGCTTCGACAAATTGGACAACTTGTTGCGGTTGGTACATTTTCAAAACAGTCAGCATTAAATAGGTGTCTGCATGGCTGTAACCTTTTCAATGCTCGACGCTTCATAGAGACGAGGCAAAATGCGCAGTTATCCTGAACTTGCATTGTTAACGACTACACGTGAGTATTTAAAATACTCGTAATATTTATTCTACATTTTACATTTTTTTTTAAATGTTACTCGGTTATGTTATATTACATACAGTAGATATTTTCTAAAGTGGATTTGATATTGTCGAAAGTAGATTTGATATTGTCGAAAGTACTTTTGATATTTTCGAAAGTACATTTGACACTTTCTAAAGTTCATCTGATTTTTTCAAAAAAACATTTGGTGTTTTCAAAAGTACATTTGTTGCTTTCTGAAGTACATTTGACTAACCTAAAGTACATTTGACGCATTCTGAAATCTAAGTGCTACTTTCTAAAATACATTTGATAATTCTAAAGTATTTTTGACATCTTCTAAAGAACATTTGACTATGCTAAAGTCCATATGATACCTTTTAAAATCGAATTGACGCTTTCTAAAATCGAATTGATGCTTTCTAAAATCCAACTGATACTTTCGAAAGTACTATTGGAAAAGGTGTAGATCAAATATAGCGTTCTCGTTTATCAAGTTCTCTTATTTTCCGACATTCTCCCTTTTGGTTTCGATACCAAGTGTTATTTTCCGATACCTACTTAATATACTTGGTAAAAGTATCGATGTTTAAAGTACTTGATTTCAGGAGGAAGTATCGAGTAGCTACTTGTATTTACTTGTATCGGCACGTCCCTAATTTTACTCATTTTGAGTGCAATAATTAATTTCTTGATACCTAAATAAATACAAGATAAACTGATGTTAATACAAAAAATAAAAACAAGGAGCGGTTAGTCTCGTTATGAATAGCAGCAATGATAGTAATGATACAGGCGCCACCTTTTCGAGGTTGCAAACAAGTGAAACTGGAGCCTATGTTGCCAACTCAAGTTCACCTGAAGTTCATAGCTCAAGGACTCAATATGCACCATTAGTTTTGCATTCATTGGAAAATACTAGCATCACAATTGAAGAAAATACAGCGGGGAATAGAGCAATTTTGGACTTCTCTAATGAAACAAACAATGCGGGGAACATCATGGAGCAATACGCTCGATTTCTAAGAGACCGAGTGGCAGGAGTAACTAGGAGCCGTTTAAGCAACATTATTGCAGTAACAAGAAGTAACGATTTTTCTCGTCAGAATGCATCCGGTGGAGGGACACAGTTGGATAGCTTCAATCGTGTTCGATCGCTTCCTAATTCACTTGGAAATTTAAATAGCTCATCAACAATTGAAGTTTCACCAACAATGGCTACCGCCGAGCACTCTGTTAGGTCTACACACCTTTCTGGTGGACACCTTATAAATAATCAGAATATGATAACTTTGGGTCACGATTTACAAGCTAATGAAAACGCCATTCTTGGCCGAATAGATTTACAAAGGATACCAATTTTATCGCCGGGCCAGCACCTGCATCTATCACATTTCCGAAATAATGGTGCAATGAGTGACATTGCCAGTATTCCAAGCACATCAAACTTAATGAATCAAACAAATACAAACGGGGATCGAATTATTGAAGAAGGAAATAATTTGGCAGACCAAATGACAGGGTCCTCTTCCAGTGTAAATGCCTCAATTGACAATGTAACAAGAACCACAGAAGAGTCGGCAACATCGACAAATGAATTATATAATAATTTTTACCCCGACGTAGTCATCACAACTCTTCGACAATGCCTTCACTATATACCGTTTGCTTGCATACTGTTCGTAAAGTTTTTTTATGACCACTTATTGGGCATTTTGGATATAATAATGTTGCAGTTTGTTATGTATTGTGTTAACAAATCCTTGCAAACGCAAGTTATAAGACTTGATCAAAAGAAAAACTCGATTATTTTACGAGACTTATTTCTAGTTGTTGCTGTAGTTACGCTGCGACTGTTGCTCGCTTCAGCTCCGCCTGACCCTTTCGGCCTGCTGATAGGACCATCATCAGATGAACGTAATATCATTCATCAAATAGTGCTTAATAATCCCCAATATACCAACACAGTGTCTCAAGGCCAACTTCCGGCTACGATGCAAAGTTCAGTTGAAAGAACAGTTATAATACCGAAATTAATATCTCTAGAAGCGATACTCTATTATATAGCTGTCAATGATCTGGTTCTTAAATTGATCACTATTGCTATAAAATTACTTGTTACTTTAATACCTCTACATTCAATCAGACACAAGCAAAGGGTATGTTTATTGACGCTTTGCCAAGTTTAAGATTTATATATTTCTAACTCCAATTTCTATAATTTTCATTTAGACGCGCTTGTATGTCTTCATGGAATTTTTCTCACAATTCTACCGCTCGCTGGTTCCCATCCGGCAGTGGTTATTATTCCTCTTTGAATCTTATTCTGGCCTACACGCTGTGAGTAAATGGTATACACATACTTAATTTTTCAAGCAAAGAATGTTTCCTCTTAATCAGATTTCAGGTGTTATGTTTTCTTCTACCTACATAGTACTCAAAGGATGTGAATTGGCGGACCGTGGAAAATCTCTAAAGAAATCTTTTATTAATCTACTAAAAGATGTGGTAATAAAATTTAAGAATAATATTGAAATGAAGTTAATGTTTTCTCTTAATTAGGATAAATCAAGACGACCGGCGAAAGATAATTTCGATACTTCCGACGAGGTCTGCGCCATTTGTCAAGACACCTACGTCTCACCGGTGGTTTTGGAATGTGGACACATTTTCTGTGATAATTGTGTAACCACATGGTTTAAACGCGAGCAAACATGCCCCATGTGCCGCGCAAAAGTGGGAGATAACCTTGCCTGGCATGACGGCTCCACCTCGTTTTTCTATCAGCTTTATTAAGTAGGCTTACTCTTATTATAAGTTAAAAGCGAAGTATCATACAATATTAGAGCCTGAAGTAAGGTTTATTTAAATATTCAGTACTTTGTTTCTATGACCATTCCTTTGGCATAACTTCCAAAGAAGAGACAAGGTATGTACATCACTTATTCATTTTGTTTGCTTCAATTTGCCAATTGTATGCTTTTGAAACATTAGGCCATCGGTCTCTGTTGCTAAGCTATTAATTTTAGCATGCTGTTCCTTGCTAACGATTTCTTCCATTATTTCGCTTTCACCTCTGATCAGACGAATACGTCCAGTGTCCGGATCCACAACACGTCGCATTTGACTTTGCCGTTGTTGATGTTCCTGTGGTGTGATGGGCGTATGTGATTTTGTGTTCATTAGCTCTACTGGTATTTCAAAACCACTTTCATCATTAGCAACCTCGTCTGTGGTGTCCTTTTTTATATTTTTATGCTTCCGCTTACTTTTTTTATGTTTATGTTTTTTGGACCTTTTCTTGCGTTTCTCAGTTTTTCCCATTTTTTGGAGTCTGCTGCAATTTTTTTTATCTCCAGTATTTATTAAAGAGTTGCCATCCAATTTGTATTCTGTATAATTTTTAGTAAAGCAAAATACACAGCACAAGCGGCTTGACAAACCTGGTGAAATATCCCTTTTGCTCAAGCCAGATAGAATAAAAGATTGCGCTGATTAATGTGAAATTCGGGAGAGTAACGTCAATATGACGTCATCGGAGATTTGCCGGCGGACAGAGTTTTGCATGTGTATGGGCTTGTTCTAGTTGCAATCACAGCCGCAGTTATCACGTTCGGTGTTAATTTCTAGCAACATTTTATCTTTTTGCCTTTTGCTCCAAGCTATTTGTGTTGTGTATGGGGGTCTTTGATGGTTTGACAAGCCGTTTGAGGGAAATTTTAACAAAAATCAAAATTTTTTGATTTGTCGACCGCTTGTTCAAGTTTGATCAAACTGCTTGCGATGTGAATGATAAATTAGCTCCATGCAATGGAATTTTCTCAGAGCGAGGACATAAGAGAGAAAAATCGAAGAAAATCATCAGCCTTATCATGAAAGTCATTTTCCCGACTTCTCACTCTTGGTTTCCATAGTTTTACTATGCGGATGACAAATTTGTTCAAACCGCTTGCGTTGTGAATGATAAACTCGCCTCGTTTGCAATGGAATTTTCACCACAATATAACCAGTAAACAACCTTCGGTGAATTTGGCGACTGCCTTCCTCGGGGATGAATATGCTAGGGATGAAATTATTGGTACACACGCCTTCCAAGCATGCAGGGTTGCTTTTAAGAAACAAAAAATAATTAACTCCAAATAGTTTCAAAAAGTATAGTGTAAAACGAAATTTATAAAATGGTATACATAAATGACGCATTTTCTAAACGATTTAAATTGAACGCATTTGCGAACTGATAGAAAAGTACTACGGATTGTTAAGTTTTGTTAACTATGCGGTGAAAGAAAATTTTCAACCCGGCCTGATGGTTTGATTTTATTACTAAGGCGTCTAATAAATTCATGGCTTTTAGTTCTAGAAGAATAAATGTCGGTAAAGACAAGTCTTTTTTGTATAATTTCTGATTTTAATTGCTCAACTTCTTTTGAACCAGAGCAACTGTCAAAAATTTCCAACAGTAAAAAGTTACGAATTGGCACAGCAGAAATGTAAACTTTTCTCGCCATAATAAACAGTTTTTTTCAACATGGAACTTTTCTACTAATTGACATGAAATTACTATCTCAACGCTCGGAGCGCTGCCACTGAGGGCCTTTGCCAACTGATTAAAAAGAGAAAATTTGGGAAGACCAAACAAAAATTTTGAGATTTCTCGTTGTGAATACGAATGCCATAGTTTTTACCTAGCTCGTGGGACTACGCAAAATTTTTACAGCTTGTAAATATGTGTACATATGAAGTTGTTGGCGGTATAAGGAGTCAAAATTAAAATGGAGAAAAGAACAAAAAGCGTAGGTTTGTTGTCAGTTATAAAATAAATCCAATTTATTTAGGAATATTTGTTTATTCTTTTTATTGAAAGGCAACCACTCGGAAAAGCTTGTGTTAATTATATTGATAACAGAACCTGGCAGGTCGCACGTTGTCTAAATTCTCAAGTAACATAGAGTCCACAAAAGAATAAGTACGCCATGTATAAATTTTAACAATACACAAAAATAGAGCTTTCGCACGAGCGTTTGTTTGGCTTTTCAACACCATTTGTAATTTTCTTTTAATAAAATCACGATTTGACAAATACTTAAATTTATTTATCTAATAATAGTACAGCACACAACCCTGAAATCTAAGAAAAAGTCTGAGGAAGGCCATTAAATAGCAGCACACAACCCCGTGCCTTCCTCAGGAGTGAATATAACTACAACAACAACGACTACTACAACAACAACCCAAAAAGGTTGGTTACTGTCTATACTGTGATTTTCACCGAGTGAGGACATGAGAGGGGAAAAGGGAAGTAACACAATTTTTAGCATTGTGAACCGGAATAAATTTTAAATTCTTTGGTTGAACGAGTCATGTTTGCATGGTGTATGGCGAAATGGGAAGAGTAGGTTTGAAGTATGTTTGGCAAGCCGCTTGCGAGGTGTGTTTCGCTCTTTATTAAACAGGTAAAAGGTTCGATTAGAGATGTCGAAAAATCATTGAAAATATCGACGTTTTGCTTCGATGCATCGAAAATGTTTTGCTTCGATGCCTAGAAAATTTACCACTCGCAGCCTAAATAGTCGATGAATCGAGACATCGATGCATCGAAGTTTTCTGTAAACCAGTCCATCGAACGCCCAAACATCGCTTTGTTCAAAGAAATCAAGATGCTGTTTCATAGCTCATAAAATTTTAGAATAAGCAAGTTTCAATTGCTTTGATTTGTAATCTTTTTTTTTTGCTGACTTTCACTTTAATATACCAAAATTTTATTAGCTATAAAACTGCACACTCAAAAACGTTCTAAACACTCATATTAAAATGTTAAAAATATTGATGAAAATATGTTGAATTTTATATAATATAATATATAATATAATGTATATAATATAATTATATCTTTTCAGGTATGTAACTTGAGAATAGAAATCGCTGCATCTTTTAGGCGCATCAATATTACATAGTTACATCCGGAGATAATAAAAGGGGTGGTAAAAGGGGTGGTAAAAATGATAAAATATGACTTCCTCTTCGATAAATAATCGAAAAAAAAACTAGTGAAGGCACCGATTGGAATGAGTGGATCGTGAGTTTTCATGTAGTTTTCAGCGAAAACAAATTGAAAAAATGTTAATTAACATCGGAAATTTTAAAGTAATTGTGGAATGCATTATCTGTAAATTACATGGCGTTCTGGTAATACCATGTTCTGACCGACAACGAAAGCACTTTGACAACGAGTTTTGGAATTGTGGGCTGAAGGCTATTCACACCGCCTGTTAGTGTTTTCGTTTACATTTCTTACATCCTCTCATTACAGTTTTGCTACACAAAAACAAAACCAAAATGCTTTTCCCACGTTTTCTTTTCATTAGCAACATCTTACTTTCATTCTTATTTTACTTTGGCCAGCCAATTAACAATGAATACGAAATAGCGTATTAAATATGATAAAATATGACTTCCACTTCGATAAATAATCGAAAAAAACTAGTGAAGACACCGATTGGAACGAGTGGAACGTGAGTTTTCAAGTAGTTTTCAGCGAAAACTGGTTTTCGTTTGACAGATTTTACATGGACGAAAACACATGTTTAGGTCGAAAACTAGTTTTAGCAACGAAAACATGTTATCGATGTTGGTCAGAACATGGTAGTTGCGTTCCAGATGCTTCACGATATTCACGAAATTCACGATTTGCAGGAACAGCTGTTTTCTCCATTAATAAACCTTATGGGAGGTGGTCACCTGGAACGACTTCCTGTAAAAACCAGCAAATCGTGAAGCATCTGGAACGCAACTGGTATAAGACAGATCATGTCAGCTGACTCGTGTTTACGTAGCGGTAGATTTACATTCTTGACTAATTTCAAATTTAAGTACCTGTTCACGTGTAGTTATAAGGTGTGATGCAGTATGAAAACCTATACAGCAACCACATGAAGATAATTTTAAAGTTATTTCAAGAACAAGCAAAATTTTTAAAACTCAAATATATGGAGAAAGTAAGATAATTTCAATATACCGTTTAAAACCTGCTTTTCAAACTCAAAACCCCACGTCGAGTTACATTTAATACAAACTTACGATAAGGTTTACATCGTTATCACTAGGAAGTGGGTACTGTGGAGCTTCTACTCTATTATATTTTACTTTAAATAATTAACAATAATTACAAATTGGAAAATGTTTTAATTCGTTTTTTGTCAAGAAAAAAAATGTTTTCAGTTGGTTGAATTAATTGAATATACATGACGTTAAAATATTAAAAAGTATTTTATTCAACTAAAACAAATGTACGGGCAATGTGCAGAAAGCCTTAGTTTTCGATATCGAGAAAATGGTTAGGTATCTCATCGTATTATAACGTTTAATTCTAATTGGTTTATGTCTAGGTCTAGTGAAATTTAAGAAACTAGATATATTAGACTTCTAATGTAAAACAAAATGTTTCTCTAACATTAGACTGTATTTTCTGGGTGGTTTAAAGTTATTCTAAACGCTGGAGCTGGCTGGTTTAAACTAAGATTAGCTAATCAAATGTCAGCCAGCTGTTAAATTTAAACTTATTTTACGTGATCTAATTTTAAACTGGCACTGAAAAACTGGCGTTTGAGGAAATTTTGGAAAATGCGCTTGTATAAAGTTTTAGCGAACTTTCCATGATTTGATGTTATGCGAAATACAACCCATCAACGTTTTATGTCAACAAAAAAAA